CCACAATCAACGAGTTCTATTTCGCTAGCAGGTTGCGTGGCGCTTGAGTTTGCCGGAAGAATCATTACGCTAATTGTGCCTGCATATCTGTAACTAGTGAATGTGCCTCGATTCTCTCTGCGCTTAAATCCAGCAGTTTACTTTGCGTTTTCGTGTAACTAATATAATCTACGGGCTCTCGCGTAACGCAGCCAGGAAAGTAGCACAATTCTGTTGACAAATTCTCTTGTTCCTAGCGATTCACTATCATTCCTACATCCGAAACTCCGACTTTGAAAATTAAACGATGAGTCTTTATTAAGAGAAATCAAGAGAAAAGTCTACTTTGTCAGAATGGGCAGCGCTTTAAGTTTTTTAACAATGTCACGCTTTGACTTTTTCATTTTCCTTCGAACAAAGGATTAGCTAATTATCTTGTTTTAATGTCTAAAATATTACTCGTTGTTGGACAATATTTAAGGCTCCTATTCATCACTACTATTTTAGATTATGACGTCAGAAGCGAAAAAATATACAATAAAAATTCTTGCAAAATATATTAAAATGGAAGTATGTTTCAATAAAAGCACACAATCGATAGAATCAATTTGTAAAACATACCGAAAGCCCTTGTTTTGTTTCGTTAATTGATAAATAACCATATCTGGAAATAAATTATGCATACTAAAAAACAAAATAAGTTATGTTCACAGCTATAACTGCCAAATTAATAATAATAACATAGGAATAAATATGATTTAATTTTTCCCCGAAACAAAAACTAATATTTTTATATTTTATAACTCTATCTTCTTGATTACAAATGTTGTTTTAATAAAAAATATTTCATATTTATAAAATTTATAAAATAAATTAATTTATTAAAATATTTCATATTTCACATTTAAATATATAATATATTTTATAAGAATTTTTGTTTTTTTTTGGCTTCTGACATTATAATCTGAGATAGTAATGGTAAATAATGAAAAATCTTAAATCAAACTTCAATAAAAATCATAATTCATAATTGTAATTTTTTTCCAAAATAGTGAATTAAGCAGATATTTTAATTTAATCTCTTTCTCTAAATATTCGCTACCGAGATATAGAAATGTACTATATAAAGTTTGTTTCCTCTGTTTGAATTTATACATATTATTATGTAATATATGTATCACACTTAATAAGTGAATGAATGTAAATGCTTAATGTTCTAACAATTCTATGTTGAGACGTATTTCAAAAAAATATCCGAATCTGACACAATTGAGAAATTTGGAATCCGTTAAATATCACCATTATATCATCAATATTAAAAATATAATAAGATAATCTTTCATTTAAGTATGTTGCGAAAATTAACAATTGCTTGCTAAAACGTTATTGTGTTTACGAATTTTTTAATTTATACATGGAAAGAACGATTTGCTGAAGTATCTAAAAATTTAGCCAGATGCAGATCTAAAAATATTTTTGTTGGAAACCTCAAAATGCTTATGTAGGCTGTTCAAATTGGAAGCTAGAATATTAAAAATTTTTGCAGTCATCAATTTGCCCTCGTGCCTAAGCGTTCTTGATAGCTCAACAAAATTATTTTTAGATTTGTACATTTGGCCAAATTTTTAGATACTTCAATAATACCTTTCTTTGTATATTGATCAACTATTACTTATTCATTATTTACACATAATTAATTTTGAACGTCATATGTTTTGTGAAAATGTTTTATCAGAACAAACAGAAATCAAAACAAAGTAGTGTTAAATAACTAGTCGTCGCTTTACTACATTTTCTCTTGACGACGTTAACGACATCTCATCTGTGTATACATGCTCGCTTCAGTGAGACAGAAACGTACACAGAGCTAATGAAAAACAGTGAGTACGCGCGATCATTGATAAAACGAGACGACATCGTGTCTATTGGACTTATATAACGTGCAACTTCGTCGTCTCAACTGAATCGAACGTCTTGGCCGTGGCGCTTTTTCGGGGGCTCGTCTCCGCGGTCCAAAGAGATGATGCTGCGAACAATTGGTCGGGACGATAACACGTGAAGTTCTCGACACGCTTCGCTTATCCGACTACGCGATATGTGAACCAATCACTTTGGAGACAGTCAAAATCTAATTTAAATTTAAATAATAATTAGTTTCGGGCATGTAATTTTAATATAATAATACTAACATCGTTATTTTCATGTAATATATGATTTTCAAAACACGATTTACAGCGAGTGTTTGCTGCTCGTGCGATTTTCTAAGTGAAAATTTCAGAGATGGACTCGGGGTGAGAAAACGGCCGCCATGAAAATCCCCTCTCGCGTCCTCGCCGGCGTGTTTTTTAGAGGCTTCACAGGATCTAATCTCTTTTTCGAAATAATACGTAACTTGGCGAGGTTACTTATCTCCGATGTGCGTCTCACATTAATGTTGGGCAACACGAGATAGCCGTGACGTTGACGATTAATAGCGGCCCGTACAACCATGATCGTAAATAAATCGACTGTCTTCTCCTGATATCAAACGGCGATTAATAATCTGCGGGATAAATAATATTGTCCTCGAGGGAACGACTCAGTGTTTAAATCGATGGTTTTGGAAATTGGTCTCGTCGACGCGCTTCTCGGGAGAGGGGGAGGGTGCAACGACAACGCATAACTGAAAAAATTGTAAATATCGCGCTGTCGTCGAAGGATGGCTGTCGAGAACGAATACGAGAGGGGTCGCGGATACCGTCGGGGACGAATGCAGCTGGGTGTATACGAGCCAGGACCAGCACTCCCCCGCTTCCCCTCCCTCCCTTTCGTTCACTGTTGCTCCGAAAATATTTCGCAGTCGGACTCTGAAATGTGAAACTTACTGTCGGTCGAGAAGGCGTCCGCGGCTGCCAGCACGGCCAGCGCGACGAGCAGCAGCACGCCACGGGATTCTCGCCCCATAACAACCCTCTTTCTTCCCGCAGTCGTGTCCTTCGTGCCTCCGTTCCACCACTGTGTCACGGCAAACCACCACCACTACCAGCACCACCACCACCACCACACCACCCAGCGGCAGCGAGCACCACCGTTGCCAACCTCTCGGCACTTCCTGTCGCGACAGTTCCTTCTCTCCGCTTTGCGTTCGCCCTCTTGCCGGCTTTCTCTCTTTCTCCTTCTTCCTCTCTTTTCTGCTCTTTCTTCTCTCCGCGCGAATATCGATCAACAACAATAACAACAACAGTGCGTACTGCTATTGGAAGCAGCGATCGCTAACGGAGATTCCTTGCGAGACCACGCGGTCCAGCAACCGTCGCTTGACATCGGTATTTGTCAATCAGCTGTTTCGCTCTAGTCTCCGTCTCTTTCATTCACTGGAGGTTTCACCGTCTAGGCCTTTTCTATCAACTCCGTCCGTCAATCGCTCTCCTTCTCGCGATTACATGCGGCAAGAAAAAATACACTCTATGAAGTGGTGAAACCGACCGGCCGCCCCGTGTGCGGGCGCCTCGCGAGGTATATCCGTCCTTCTCCCTCGCCTTTTCTGTCCGCTATGTCGACCAGGCAGTGACGGATTATCACGCCGCGGCGTCAGCGCTCCACAATTTCAGGCCTCCGGGCGGATCTGCAATGTGAAAAAAAATCAAATCAATGTCAAAAAAATCTAATATTTGGCAAGAAAAGGAAATCAAATACGACAATGTAGACACGCAAAAAATAACTGATAACTGATGCATTTCTACTCTCATTTTAATTCCTTCATTCATCACATACTAACGAAAAAAATTTAGATAAAAAGTTGGACAATTTCGTGCCTAAATATCGAAATCTAGAAAACCTTCAAAAACAGAAATTTCACGTTTGTATTTCAAATTTTACAATTATACAAATGCTCGATAAACTCATTCCTTATTATTCATTCACTCTCTCTCTCTCACTATCTTTTTTTCTGTCTGTAATGCTTACTTAATTACAAATCTACCAGCGATAAAGGAAATCTCGAAATCGATTCGTGTCTTTTAATCCGTCACTGCGATTCGGCCGGTTTCTTTCGCGCTCTCTGCTGCTGCTGCGCTGCTTCTCTCCGCCACGCTCAATCGTCCAGCGAGTAATGTAGCCTCTGTCTTTCTCTCTCGTGCATATACGCGAGCATTCTCCCGGGCGAGACTATGCCGGCGACCAACAAGTCTGACGCACTGATCGCGCCACCTGCGCGCGCAGTTTCGCTCTCTCTTTCTCTTGTATTCATCATCATTCTGCTCTCCTTCTCATACACTTTACATTAAGCGTATATGCTCGAAAGTTGCGTCGCTCGCGCGTGCGAATCGTTCGCGTATCGTATGATGTGGCCCAGCTTTACCTGGGCCGACACCACCTCTCGTTCCCACCACAACAGCGAACGAAGAATTTTTGCGCTCACGTGCGCGAACGCACACATCTGCACCTGTGTGCGAAACGGATGTTATTGTTAAATTAAATTCCTTTCTTTTTTTCACATTGTTTGCACTATTGTTTGCCAGTCCAATACGACTGGCTTCTATCCTAGTTGTTTGTCTCATCTGAATCATCAATATTTGCCTGCTTAAGAATATATATATATATATATATATGTGTGTGTGTGTGTGTGTGTGTGTGTGTGTGTGTGTGTGTGTGTGTGTTAGTTTAGATTAATTAGGTATTATATGTGTATATATATATATATATTTGTTTACAATTGTTACAATTTCTCATAAGAATTGATTGCAGAATATATAATATAGCTATATTTTTTAATTCAAATTAGGATTTAACGATTCTTTTATATTTTTGTTATATATTACGTAACATAGTGATTAACACTTACGTTGTATTAAAAATATAGTAAATAATAATTTAAGATTAAAGATTATTTACAATCATTTAAAAGCGCAAAATTCTTATAACTTTTATTAAGATATTATCATTTTGATAACTATGTTATTATTAATGATATATACACAGCCGTAATAAAAATTTATTTCTAAGAAAATTGTAAAAATTAATGAAAATTACAAACTTTGAACTTACTCTGAATCACAAACTTACTCTGTATATAAGAGGGAAATAACAGAACAAATTTTGGTACTATTCGTTATTCGCAGTATTCGTCGATGTGCTCCACATCAATATATTTGACCCATTAGATGCCAAAAAGCAATTTTTTTGTGGATGAACACTTATAGATACAGTAGGATACTTAGTCGGTTTAAAACCTGAGAGTTTCGCAACCACCTTCTGAGATATAAGATCCCAAATCCAGAGCTTCCCATCCGCCGAACCCGAAAGAATTTTCGTGTCTTGGAAGTCTACGCTCGATTCCAGACACAGATCTTTTCCAGTGTGTCCCGTGAATTCTCCAAGCAGCTCTCCCGAGTCCTTGTCAATTAATCTAATGACATCATCTGCACAACTAACGACTAAGCATTGTCCATCTCTGGTGAAACTCGCGCACGTGATTGCATCTAAAAAGTTTGTATGTTGTTACTCTCCAATAAAATTTCAAATCTGTTATATTAACTTATTATTTCTTACCACCCATGTAATCTTCGCAAAGTTCTCCCACACGTATATCATAAGTACGCACTTTACCATCAAAAGAACTAGTCAAGATTTCGTGATCAGAAACCCTTACACTTGAAATGGAATCCTTGGCGTCATTCAAAGATTGTACAGCCTCTTGTGCTTTAGAACGTCCATCCCAACACATAACACTATTGTCCCGAGATCCAGAAATAATCATTGATGATTCCTCATTAAATCTGTAATTGCAACAGGATAGATTAGTTTAATTCAGCTAACAGGCTTAAAAAAATTTGTGTTTACATTGGAATATGTTGCATTTAAATGAAACAAGATAAACTTTAATCTAAATTTCAAGTTTAAAAATTACTGATTTCAATTAAATTCTAATTAAATACAATTATTTCTCTAAAGAATAAATTTGAAAAGAGCTTTTATATCTATAAGTTATGATAAATTTATCTACAAGAATATATAGCACACAGTAAATTATAAAAAACAATATAATAAATATAATAATATAATAAACATGATTATATAGCAAACTTGATCATCTATATTACACTATAATACCATTAGATTAATATATATTAAAGCTAAAACATATTAAGTATCTAAATGCAATCACATAACTTTTTTGATACTAAAATAATTAATGCATATTCTGTTAAATAACAAGAATAATTCATGGTTGAGTATATAATTCAAAATATTCATGTAGTCTTATATTTACTAATTTGATTTATTAACAGCTTTTAGTATATATTAATCTGATATACAAATACAAATTTCTTAATAAAATTTATTAATAAAATAATGCACTTGCCTTACTGTCGTAACAGGAGCTGCATGTCCCCTGAAACGACGTACAGGTATGCCCATTGCCACATCCCAGACAATTACAGATTTGTCTAATCCACAGGAGACTATCTGGCTGCTATCACAGGACGCACAAGCGTCCATAACCTCGTTACCGTGTCCACTGTATGTTTTTAATGTAGCAGATTTGTACGGATTCCATAGCTTTAGCTTCCTATCCGATCCACATGTTATGCAATACGAACCGTCAACTAAAATATGAAATAATGTACGATCCATAAAATATTATAACATATATAAAACAAAGCAAGCTTTCTTACCACTAAATCGTACAGATCTTACAGCTCCTTGTTTGCAGTCAATTTCTTTCTCGAATTTATACTCAGTACTCATTTTTTTTCTTCTCTCGAGACACAGTATCTTACATATATTAAAATTCCATGTCTTTTAATTTATCACAGATTTTTTTCAGATTTTCACAATTTAATTTCTCAATTATAATCAACAAAATGAAGTAGGATGGAAATACTATGCCTTATTTGTTAGACGTAGCGAAAGATCTCGAATCATTTTGATAACAACTGACAAAGATAAACAGTCAAGAAAATATTACAGAAATCTTCGTATAATCATAACCTATTCATTAAAATCAAATCTTCTCAGCACATTCTAACGGTCTATTATGCCAAACAAAAACTTTACGCATGCGCGTACAAAATGGCGATATATTTCTCACCAACTTGAAAAACGAGACAAAATATATTCCTCCTTTTAATAATGTTGCATTTCAATATTCTTTTTATGCATTTTGAAGAGAAATTCAACGATAAATATTATTGTTATATAATTTATAAATACGAATTTTTCGATTTTAAAAAGTCTAATATTTTTGAAATATCTCTTTTTTTGAAAAATACGTATATTGTACTTATTAATTTATTTTATATATTTAAAAAAATCCAATGAATAAATAAAAATAAAATATTGTTACTTATAATTTATGTTAATAATGTTTTTACTTCTGATTGTCCATATATCAATATGAAAGATTTACTTGTTGATTAAATTATACTTGCGTATATTTTTTTGTGCCTATTAATTTATTTAATATATTAAATTATTTAAAAAGCGAATTAAAACATCTCATTATTTCGAAAAAAATTAATGCATTATAAGTGATTTGAATTTGTTATCCTCTTATTCTTCGGCGTCTGTAAAATTATGTGTTTATTAATTTATTTTATATATTTAACAAAAAATCCGACGATAAAAGTTATTTATAATTTATTTTAATAATGTATATATGATTGTCCATATATCAATATAAAAGATTTATTTGTTAAATTATATTTATATGAGATCTTTTTGTGCCTATTAATTTATTTAATAAATTATTTAAAAATCTATTTAAAACATATCTATTTCGAAAAAATAAATGCATTATGAGTGATTTGAATTTGTTATATTCTTATTCCTTG